AAATGTAATAACTTGCTAGGGTTGATCAATAAGTTTTGGAAACGCAATTAAACTCTAGGATAAGTATATGTAAATTATATTTATTTTTAAACGTTATCGCCTCTTAAGCTTAAACACCTTGAACATCGTTTTGCAAGTGGTTTGATTCCCTTGGAAAGAAGGCATGTTCCTATAATTCGAAAAAAGCCTCTTCAGCACTCATTGTCGCCGTCGAATTTTATACCACGCAGGTGCTTTTTCAGGTTCAGAAAACACAAGTTTGCGAGTTTACCGCTGAAAAGAACCCCTTTGTCATATCTTCCCAGTTTCAAGGCGCTCTCCTTGTTGCCTCATCCAGTATCGGAATCCTCGGCGTTGACATATCGAGTGACATGCAGTTTCGTGGTCATTTGGAAGAGAAGGCCAAATTGGACTCTAAGAAGCTTGGCGTGCTCAGCAGAGCGGGACAGTATTTCATGCCGGTACAACGCCTGCAACTTTACAAGGCGTAGGTTCGGCCTCACATGGAATACTGTTTCCATCTCTGGGCTTGGGCTCCCCAGTGCCAGCTCCTTCCACTTGACCGCATCCAGCGCATAGCGGCTTGAATCGCCGACGACCGAGTCCTTTCTAATCGGCTCGATTCCTTGGCGCTGCGAAAAGATGTTGCATCCCTTTGCTATTTCTTTCGCATTTACCACGGGGAGTGCTCTGAGGAATTGTTCGAATTAATCCTAGAACCTAAATTTCACGAACGCACATCGCGGCAGAACTCCCGCTACCATCCACACCATCTGGATGATTGGCGGTCCACCACTGTGCGATTTAGAAGATGTTTTCTTTCCTCGCACAACTTCCTTGGAATCGATTATCATCAGCGATTTTTCCGGACCGATACGATACGACTTAGGGACCTTCTAGAAAAGAGCCTACTCCTTTTTAAAAGGTTGGCAACGCATCTGCAATTCCCCTGGGTCCCCTGGTGTTGCAGATGTTTATGGGTGGCGGTAGTCACTTACCATCAGGTGAGCCGCATGCTCGTCTGCCCCCTCTTCTATAAAAAAACAAACAATCAAGTAAATAATCCATCTGATGTTAAGTGAATGCTGCCCGTAGACATGTATTATCGATCAAAAATCAAAATGCACAGACGTTATCACCCCTTAGGACTAAAATGAAATGTTTCGTTTCCTCTAAAAGGCTCTCCAGTTCTCAACAACCTCCATACGAAATACAGCAGCATTATTCTGCTATTACACACTGGCATTCTGTAAAAGCGTGGTCCTTACCCAGTTGGTCGACCCATCACAATGCATCACGAATGGGCTCACAACTATAGCTAGTATACCTGCAGAGTGGCTCTACTACGTACAGCTGTTTAAAAAATTTCGAGAAGTTAATCGTAAAAAGTTATATCATATACATATACTTCTCACTGGGAACAGGCCTCCTTTCGTTTTTGGCGGCTAATGTACCAATGAGATCACCCACGCTGCTGAAACGTGTTAAGAACCTTATTTTATTCCTCAGACATGCAGGTTTCCTCACGATGTTTCCCCTTACAGCCAAACATGAAAATAAAATTGCAACTAACAATTTGGTTGATTTTTTATAGTATAGTATAGGGTGACAAACGAGCACACAGTCCACCTGATCAAGTGGATGCTGTGGCCCATAGATATCTATATTTATACACAATTCAGAATCTCAATGCAGATGCGTTATCACCCCTGAGGACTAAGATGGAATGCCTCGTTTCCAGTAAAAAGGGTCTCCGTTTCTCTACACTCACCACATGAAACAGCAGCTAATCGCCATAAAAAAAATACATTAATTATAATAAGATTTTATTTATTGACTCCGAATGAATTTATAAAATAAAAATTTACACATTTACATCAAAATACCATCCATCCATATCCCCAGCATATGCATAAAACTAATAGTGTATACAAAAAAATATAATGTAATATTATATTAAGAGGTTTGAATATAATATTTGACTTCTAAGGAGCTATCTACAGAGAGACAATTTGTAAAATATCTTTTAACTATCCAATAATCCACGCATCCATTTCAGCCTATAAGAGTCTTTATAGGTGGGATTTTGCCATAGTCACCATGCTTGTTTTTGGTTATCTGCTATCTGTTTCGTGTTTTAGTTTCCCTCTGTCGCCTCTAGTGATATCCACTGGACGCCATCTTATAGTTAATGTGTAGAATTTCTGATCGTATTCTGCTCAATTCAAGTAATGTTAAATTGTTTTATAGAGTATTTACGATTTTTTTTTTGTTGAGATAGCGCCATATGAATGTAGTTATCGATTAAGGAGCCTTTGAAGCCTAAGGAGGATCATGTAGGAACAGTTCTAGAATTTGTGGTAAATGTTAAAACAGTATTTATAAAAAGAAAAGTTAATTATTATTTATTTAAATATAAAACAAAGAAATCGTTTGAGGTAACTAATCTAAATAATATAAAATATACCTCATATACGAATGGCTATATATATAATAAATTATATATATCAAAAATATTTGGGATTTGCCGTTGTGTGATAAAATCTGACTCCTCAGTTCAAACGTTTGAATCAAAATTGAAAACAATTTAAAACATTTTAACAAATAATTTTTGATATTATGGTAAGGATGTATGGTATAATAATAAAAATTTAGAGCTGAACTGCTGATATTTTAAAATATGTTAGTGTGGTCGACTTTGATTCTACGACTATTTAAAAATTATTAGTTTCTTATCTATAAATTTTCTAGTTTTAAAGGTCCTTGATTCGACCTTTGAATCGAGGAGTCGCTATATTCATATAACTTTTCATTTTCTATGCTACAGATTCCAGAAATGATCCTACATAATGTACTAATGGGGAATTAATATTCTTAGGTATTTTTCCATAAAAAATGTGTTCCATAAATGATGTGCTCTTCAATCTACATCCATAAAGATTGAATGCATGATGTCTCACATCTCATCAGTGTTTGTCTCTTAATGAGATTACATGATTAGTGTGGCGTGAACATTAATTAAAAGTGGACCATTCACCTCACAAAAACCAACATTTGTCATAAGCGAAACCACCACAAAAGCAATGCTTAAAGTCTATATAATATTTAAAATATTAAGATGTGTCAATTTAATAATCTACTTCATTCATATTATAATAATAATAATAAATTTAAAAATAAGCATTATTACGTAACTGACTATCACAACATTTAAAGGCAATATAATATTTGGACCATTCGCTTGCCTAGGATGAAACTCGCAAAAATTTACAAATTCGATTTAAATGTAATTACGTACTTTAGGGTAAACATTTTTACCACTCTTTCAGAGACCTTTGACAGATACTATGCGTTTTTCAAATCGTTTTGTACATAACTGATAACTTTCTTTTCGTTTTGGTCTAGCAATGTATATGCATTTGTTAAAGTTTCTTGAAAGTAAGTTCTAGGCCATTGTTCGCAACATGGAGGGAAATATTTATTTATTTATTTATTTATTGGCCATTTCGTTACATTACATAACATTGGTACGTCAAAATTACAATTCAAATGATTTAAGATTACGCTAAATTATTAAAATCACAAATTAATAATTGGGACTACAATAATAATAATTATTGTAGTCCCAAGTACTCGCCAACTGTCCTGGCTAAACTGTTGCATTTTGTGCTTTACATTATAATTCATTTACTTTAACAAATTTGTTCCAGTTTATTTTATGTGCGTTGATTATAAAATAAGCTCTTTTTCAATTACTTAAAGTTTTATGATAGACGATAAATTTAATTGACCTACTAATGTTCTTATAATTCCAACCTGAAATTCATAACTTTTTGATATCATACTTTAAAGGTTGTCTTTTAAAAATGTTGCGACAAAAATTATATTTTGATTAATTTCACCATTCATCCAGATTTCTGTTAGACTTTGTAATTCGAACTGGGCAGTGTTTTTCGTTGTGCATGTAAGCATGTGTCGCAATTGTAATGAATTGAAAATTTTCCCAAGAAATATTTTATGGGTCATTATTATTAACCACTAAGGAAAACATGACGATGTTTTATGTTGACAAACAAGATACTAGTGATTTACAAAATCTTAGTTAATATCTATAGCCTTTTTATTTGTGTGATTTGTAACTAAACGTAATTTATGATAGTCTAAATAGTTAATTGATTTTTTTTAGAAAAGATATAAAAGATATTATATGATATCTTTTCTAAGCAGTTTGTTTTTGGAAAAAGAGCCATAGAATTGTCTGCAGTAATACAATATATTATAAGCTAAGGAGACAAAAATATAAGAGAATATAGTAATATAGAAGATAGATTACTTTGTGATAGATTGAATAATTTAAAAGTTTACAGTGCGTTTCTTAGTCTAGGTTAAGTTCAAAAGAGCAGAGATTTATAAAATCCTTTGTACAGTATAGCTACACACTCGACGACTAGTTAAGGAATGAATAAAGTCAAAATTAATAACTTATAGATCTAAAAAACCTTCTAGACAATAATACTAGGTATTATATAAAAATATCACTTCAGTATAGTGCCTAGTAAAAGGACAATATCTCTCGTATTATAATTACAAAAAGGTACAGGTAATTACATAAAACTTGTCCAAAACCAAATTGCAATATGAAACAAAATTAATTCCTATTTATGAAATAAAATGTTCGTGAATATACCATATTATGTATTTTGATTATTTACATCAAAAAATAAAATTTGTATCAAAATGTTTGTGTATTTTAGGGAATTACTAACTAATTACATTAATGGTAAAACTTTGAAATATTATCAGACTAATGTTCCTCTGTCCCAATTCCCAAGCTCATTAACCAGCTCTTCAATCTATAGCATTAATAAATATAATAATAGCACGGACAATATAATTTATAAGAAACAGCGTGTCGATCAATAGACAAAGTGAGTAAAGATTTTTTTTTATTCTAACTGCGAATGTTTTCATATCCTAGCGCGATGCGCGGACGCGCAACATCACCGTCGCGGGTCAATTTTTTCGTTTTCTTTAACAGGGTTTTCAGTTGGACGTTCCTTGGTCTCTTGAACTGACTCTAAGCCGATATCAAATGATGCTTGACGACTGAAACATAGAAATAATTTTGATATCATTTCAAAATATATTAGAATTAAAATTTCAATTTGTTTCGCTGCCCCATATCATAGAACCTGTCTTAATATTCAACAAAAAAATAAATCAAGAGACGAGCAGTAGATTCCCAATCAAATCAAAATAATAAAAAAGACTCCGGTTGGCAACCCGACTGTCAAGTGTGGCAACTATCGCAAAAATTTCTATAAGACAATCAATGGGTAAGGCCTATGTTCAGAACTAGACTTATGATAGGCTATCATTTTGTTATTTAAATGTTTTAAATAAAAAAGTTTAGGTTAGGTCTCAATAAATCTTAACTGTTTTACCTCTCAGTAAGATAGTTCCCTGGTGCAGACAGCGAGCGCCCAGACTTGGAAAGAGCACTTCGACGGACTGATTGTTTAAGAGTTTCAGCTTCGACAGATTCACCAACGTCATTTGACTCTCGGCGGGCGCTACCTTCGCGGCTGCGTAGAAAAGGATTCTAAAAAAATATATATATTATTGTTGCGTGCCACAATTAATACATGGTACATGACGACAATAGTTACCACTAGTGCCTTCTAGTATCGAGTAGCAGAACTAGGATAGTCAAGAACATTCAAGAAATTTCCATGGAAAAACTTTCTAGAACTATCGACACCTAGTCAATCAGGACCGATATGTACTAGAACATTCTAGAATTTTCTATAGTAGAAGGTTCTGGAAACTACCTGAGGCCATAGATAAAGCCTGTATAGACCACGACCGAGGTAGTATTGAATTGGCGATACAAGCGAATACTTCAAAGTGTTACACCTGGGAACAAAAGTGATCAGTAGTACAATTGTGTTTTGTTATTGTTGTGGTTTTAAGTTGTAATCAGTGTTCTCTAATTAAAGTGTCAATTTTGGTAATTCACTCGGCAGTTTTTAATTGTCTCGAACCTCAAGCTCGTAACATTATATAGATAGATTATATAGATAGAGCCATGCTGCAGCTATTTTAGTAGTATAGTTGTAGCACGAATGGGTCGGCTCAACCGGGGAAGGACCACGCTCTCACCGAATACCAGCGTAAAATAGCAGCTTATAACTGCTGTATTCCGTATGGTGAGTGTAGAGAACCGGAGACCCTTTTCACAACGCATCTGCATTTTGATTCTTTATTGAGTATAGATTTAGATGTGTATGAATCACAGCAACCACTTACTATCAGGTGGACTGTATGCTCGTTTGTCACCCTGTCCTATATATATGTGAGAGTGATTCGGTCGATTTACATATCTTCTAGATAAACAAAAACAAGGTATCCCCAAACACTTTGTTTGTCAGCTATAAACCATGGAATTTTCATTAGATCATTTTTTAGAGACTTATTAAAACCGGAACCGAAAACATTTTTTTCAAACTCGTTTTACTGTCTCGCTTCTAACTTACCGCATCAATCTAATATTACTGAATTTGTTTAGTAACTAACTGATACTCGCGACTCCGTCCGCGTTGCTTGATATATTAACAAAGTTTTCGTATGTGCGTAGCATAAAACATCAAAAAGAATAAATTTCTTTGTAAACAATATTATTCGTTGCTCTGTATGTAGCTAAAATATCTTTACGAGCTTGGGGTTTGAGACAATTAAAAACTGCCAGGTGAATTACCAAAATTGACACTTTAATTACACAACAATAATTACAACTTAAAACCACACTAATAACAAAACACAATTGTACTACTGATCAATTTAGTTCGCAGTTGTATCGCTTCGGAGTATTCGCTTGTATCGCCAATTCAACACTGACAGGGTCGCGGTCTATACCGGCCTTATATAGGGCCTCAGATAATTTCCAGAACATTCTACTGTAGAAAAATCTAAAATGTTCGAGTACATACCGGTCCCAACAGACTAGGTGTCGATAGTTCTAGAAAGTTCTTCCATGGAAATTTCTAGAAGGATCTTGACCCTCCTAGTTCTGCCACTCGATACTAGAGGGCGCTAGTGGTAAATAGTGTTGCCATGTACCGGGCATTAATGGTGGCGCTCAAGAATATATAAATTATCTGACTTAGTAGTGAGCAAGCGACGTGTGAAAAACGCTGTTTAAAAGTCGTTGTTTCTTAAACCTTTAATAAGTTTATATTAAATGAAAATATCGCAATATTTTTTTTAGATAAGGACCAAGTATCTAAGAAATAAAACTTAGAAAATCTAATTGAAATCTATCCAGTAGTTTTTCCGTGATGCGCGCACAACTTCAAACCTCTATCATTTTATTTATACTATATACATACCTGAAAGCTATGTTTCTTGAGCATGGTCTTGATGAGTATTAAAGTGGAGAGGTTGGGGATTGAGGTAACAACGCTAGCCATATCTTCGTCAGTTACTTCCACTAATCTACAATTCTCCTGTTCTGATGGGAGAGGATTTTTGCCACCATCAGTTACCCATTCATGTTCCTGCAAATTTTTATTAATATTTGATTTTGTCATTTTAAACTAAAAACCATTATGATTTTAAGCAACAATTATACATTTTTAAGTATAATATTATTTAATTATATAGATTGTTTTTTCTATTTTTAATTAATTAATTATCATTTTGAAATTTATGTAATTTTACATGTGGCAACTTCTAAAAACATAACTCCGTTTAGTGTATGATTATATTACGTTTATTTATTAAAATATTTTTTATTGATATTATTAATTAATCCGAAGTTCTTAAAATAGTACACTAACATGAAAATATACGGCTCAGTTGCCTTAATATGTAGTACAAATTCTATAACAGAAAAACAAAAAATATATGCGGTACAAAATCTGCCATTCACCTTTTAAAGTAATACAATTCTACAGGAGGCATTAATTTTAATAGTAGTAATAATTTGTATGTTGGCTTTTAACGCCTTTTTCGATAAATAGGTTAAATTCTTTAAATTGATATCCTTGATTTTTTTTTAATGTGATGTTGTTAAATGCCTTCAAATTAGAGTAATTATATATGCAATATATAAATGTATATTATAAAACTAACCTTTATAACCTGCATTGTAGCTCTTGTGTTGGGATTTTTATCAAGCATTCTTCCTAATAATCGGCGAAGTTGCTTAGAAAGCCCTGGCTTTGAAGGAAAAGAGAGTGGTTCAGTTAATACCCGCTTTTGCAGTTCGATTGTGCTGTCACCACACCATGGAACTCGGCCAGTCACCATTGCATACAACGTTACGCCTAGCGACCAAATATCTGCCGCCTGCGAGAAAATTTCAAAAATGATATAGATGCCTAGTTTTTGTAAAAAACATATCTGAAATGCATTGAAAAAGCAGAAAAATGTAAAAAGACACAACTGTACACAGTAAGAAATGCTTCTTGGTAATTTTTTAAGTAGTTAATAGAACTAACGGAACGATATGAGTCGTATTGTTCTTTGTTATCGGACTTGTAACAGTGAAGTTATAAACCATTGAATCATACCGCGTCGTAAAAGTTATGTAAATCAATGTCACAGAAATCTTGTGGTATTTAATAAATTGCAAAAAACAGGACAAAATATTACATATCAGTGATGCGAAGTAACTTAAAAGATGATTGCTAAACCGTTTGCGAAAGGCGGCGATAGAGATCTTATATATAGATTATTGAATTGGATAGCCATTTTAGGGTATCAAGATATCTTGTAATTTTGATACCGCTGTATGTCGTAATTTCAAATGAACGATGTCCCTACTAAAAAAGCAACAAGTACATACCTCACCGATATACTTGTCCGCTGGTGCAAAAGCTTCAGGGGCACGAAATGCTGGTGTACCAACACCACCGGACAGTTTACCGGCGCCTGCCAGTTCACCGCACGCACCAAGATCAGCTACTTGAACTCGACCCTCACCGAGGAGTAAATTCGCTGGTTTAATATCACGGTGTGCTATTCGTTGATAATGTACTAGAAATACAAATTCTGTCATTAATGAATAATGAGAAACAGCATGTAAGGCTAAATAGTATGTGATACACTTACAATATTCCACACCTAATAATGCGTCTCTAAAATATTTCTTTGCTACATTTTCATCTAAAGGGTTTTCAGTCGGAATTTCTATCACAGGACCGCCTTCTAATAGCTGGAACACTAAGTACAATTGGTCTTCAGCTGGGTCGTCTAAGACCTGCAAAGAAATGGTAGTCATTAATGTGGTAATGATATCTTTTCTGGATTAGATACGTTACAAAGAAATTTGATTCAAGTGATATTGCATTACTTTCTTTTTGGCACGAAAAAGTTAGCCGCCACGTCATGTTCGTTGCTCCAGTTTGAAGTGACGGACTTCACATATCAAGGAAATATTTTTGACGAACAAATTTGTTTACGATTTTGTTAATATCGAGCGAGTCTTTCCTCATTATCAAGCACGTAGTACATAAATGAACCCTTAAATTTTCATCTATAATTATTTAAATTTTGTCGATGGGGGAGAAACTCAAACTCCTAGGAAAAACTTGACTTTGTAAATTATGCAAATATTATATGAATAATTTAGTCAGAATACATAACTATACAATAATACTAAATCGAAACTACTCTCTTACTTAATTCTGACATCAAGCACTACTTGCACTGCTTTGATGTGGCCCGAAGGGGAAAAGAGAGTTAGTATAATTATAGGTGGTAAAGCATTTCATCTTAGTCCTCAGAGGTGATAACGCATCTGTCTTGTTTTTTTTTATAGAATAAAGATGACAAACGAGCGGACAGTCCACCTGATGGTAAGTGGTTGCTGTGGCCCATAGACATATACATCTATATTCGCTTTGCGAATTAAAATGCAGATGCGTTGTCAGCCGTGAGGACTAAGATAGAATGCCTCTTTTCCAGTAAAATGGGTCTCCGGTTCTCTACACTCACCACACGATATACAGCAGCATTAAGTTGATATTTTACACTGGTATTTTGTGAGAGCGTGGTCTTTTCCCGGTCGAGTCGAGCCATTTGTGCTACAACTATACTATTAATATAGCTGCAGCATGGCTCTACTCTACCACGTTTAAAAAGTCCTGTTTGTTTGATGTTGGTTGCAAGTGTCCATGGCCTGCAGTAGCCACTTACTATAAAGTGGGCTGTAACTTTATAAAGTTAACGCAACAAACGAACTTAGTGCTAGTTTTCTTATAAGAAAACTAGCGATTTCCCTGTTTTGCACAGGCGATTTCTGGTAATCAACAATAAAGCCACATACCAAGTCCAACTATAGCTAAGAAGAACCAGCCAGTTAACCCCGTAAGTACCCCATAAAATTTTCATCGAAATCACATCAAAAGAATTACGAACACACGTACACCGTATATTTATAATAGAGATATAATTTACCTCAACTAATTTAACTACATTAGGGTGATCTAATTTTTTGAGCACTGCTATCTCCCTGTAGACCCTTTGTAGGGGATCCGGTGGAGGACCGGGACCCGGCCTTCTTGGTGGAGCTCTTCCAAACAGACCCGCTCGTCTCATTAGCTTGCGCTTTGAGAGGATCTTCATAGCCTAAAATCAGATGAAATTGATGAATATTTCATTTCTTCTGCTATAACTAATATAATCAATAGTGAAATTCATTCCCATATTTATTAAATCGTGGGTTTATTGAGTAGTTGATAATAGAGAACACACACACACACACACACACACACACGAGCGCGCACACGCGCACGCGCGCGCACACACACACAAACAGAGAGAGAGACAGAAAGAGTAAGAAAGAGAGAGAGAGAGAGAGAGAGAGAGAAAGATAGAGTAAACTTACGTAATGAGTGTCATCTTCTTCACTGTAGGCCAATTTAACAATTCCATAGGAACCCTGTAATATTTCAGCAGTTTTAAATATGCATAGAATTTTTTGGCTCAGCTTTAGTAATGGCGACTCTGAATATTATTTTCATATTATAATGGTTGAAAAGGTTAGTAACAATGTATTTTTAATACCAAAATAACAAAATGCGGATATCAATAGTTTTTTTTTTACGATCTTTTGACCATATACAAAAATAAACCAAACTGTACCGAAAAAAAACAGAGATCTCTCTCCCCTACCCTGCAATGTCGTCCCTGCACCGCAGTATTGCCATTTCTAAGGTGCTTCTATTTTGTGCTTTGCTATTTTCTATGATCAAAACAGAAACAAATGGGTTTCAAACATACATACCTGTCCAATAGGCTCAAGGAGCCGGTACTGATTGAGTTGGACGTATCCCGATGCTTGTGCAAGAGACACACGACGTGATTCCCGCGGAGCTCGACGGGGTCGCGGAGAACTCGGACCACTGCACTCAGCTGATTTTGCAGTGTGAGAACGGAATAGCGTGGATCTGTCTGTGCACGTTGATAGCCTAAGGTATAAGTGAGAGAAGGTTTAGGTTTGTTTCCAAAATGTCTAATAAAATCTAATAATGTTCATGTTTCAATATCACGTTTTTTTTTATAGGATAAGGTCAACAAGCCAGCACATAGTCCACCTGATGGTAAGAGGTTGCTGTGGCCCATAGACATCTACATCTATCCTCGTTTGTGAATCAAAACATGGATGCGTTGTCAGCTGTGAGGACTAATATGGAATGCCACTTTTCCAGTAAAAAGGATCTCCAGTTCTCTTCACTCATCATACAAAACACAGCGGCATTAAGCTGCTATTTTACGCTGGTATTCTGTGAGAGCGTGGTCCTTTCCCGGTCGAGCTAACCCAATCGTGCTACAAATATACAATTAATATAGCTGCAGCATGGCTCTGCCACGTATAACATGGCTCTATCACGTATAAACATATTTTATTTCTTACAAACACTTATTTTTTTAGTCGCTCAGTGTAATTTTTTAATGATTTTCAAATAGTGCTATGATAGTAATACTAGCTGAACCAGAAGAGGTTGTTCTGCGCTCTCCGTTAAGTTGTGCGATGATTCCGAATTATTTCATTTATTTAATTTGTGTGTAGGAATAACAAATGTATTTCGACATAATTAATTTCAGCATAATTCAACATATTTAATAAAAAAATATGTACATGTTAAAGCCACGTTGCAGCTGTAGTATGGTTGTAAATGTCTGTCTAATATATTATACTTAACTAAAACTAAACATATTAGACTTAACTAAAAAGAACAAAAGTAATTTGACGTTCTGAAGTAGCGTCTTTAAATCTGCCATGCACTATGTCTTCGTACTGAGTATAGAATGTGAAAATATTCCGTTTTTTTAGTTCTTTGATATCGGCATTTACCTTTTTAAATGTTATTTTTAACAATTGCAACTTAAGTGAACCTCTGCTTGCTCAAAATTAGTGCATTATGGGCATGCGCAGATGGCTAGTCTCCGTTGAGATTGGTCGCCGTAACTAAAACGTAGTGATTATACGCTTTGGCCGATTCTGAAATTTGACATTACGTTCCAAGAGATCGACAATGTCAAAATAGCATCTAATCAACTTTACCTTACTCGTAAAAGAAATCTAATATATAAAAATTAATTTCTGTTTGTTCGTAATTTATGCGTTGCCATACCGTTCATCAGATTCCGCTAAAACTTTGTCAAATTATTGCTTGCACTTGTGACAAGGTTATAGGCATAATACAAATAACTTACAATAGGTGGCGTGCGTATCATATCGATAAATTTATTTGAAAGTTATGCATCGTGCAACTTCGATGAATATATTATCATTCCCAATTAAACATTATAACTGTTCCAAATTTAAAACGATATTTCGACAATAATTTTTTTTGTGGCAAAAACGCGCCGGTTACCAGCCAGTATTATGTATAAATATTTGTTTTAGGTAGAGTACTACTACCTTTCTGTCAAGGAGTCCATCTGAGTAGGTACTCTCTTATCTATTTTTGCCGCCAAATATCATTGCTTGTATTGTTGCGTTCCGGTTTAAAGGGTACAGAGAACCAGTATAATGACAGATTCTGAGGCATTCCATTTTCATTGCATTCCTCAGGGGTGACAACATAACAACACATCTGTAGCCTTCTTTATTTAAATTTGGGTGGAGGTGTCTATAACTTCGGTGGAAACTTACCATCTGGTGGACTGTAAGCTAATTTGTGACCTCAGTTTCATAGATAAAATAAGCCATATTTACTTGTCTCCATCTGCGGGCTGCCATCTTTTGTCCGGCTCACGTTTTCTGTTGGCTTCGGCGCTGACATCCACCGCAGAATGTCTGCAACAAATAATAACATAAATATATATACTTTACGTAAATAAAGCTAATTTATTTTTAAATGAAAATCTTTATTACTTATTTATAACAAAACGGCTTCACGAACAACTTTTTTCTTTTAGTGTCGAGGTCTAACCATAATCACATCAGAGTAGTTTGAAGTAAGTCAAAAATGGTTTGATTCGCCGTTATAATATATCCGTTGACAGCATGCTAACGTAACTTTATATGTGGTAGAGCCATGATCTAGCTATATTACGGTTGTAGCTCGAATGGGTCAGCTCGAACGGGGAAGGACCACACTTTCACAGAATACCTCCGTAAAATAGCAGGTTAATACTGCTGTGTTTCGTATATAGTGAGTGTAGAGAGCTGGAGACTATTTTTACTGGAGTTGATGTATTCCGTCTTAGCCCTGTGGTGACAATGCAACTGTATTTATTCTTAATCGAGGATAGGTGTAATCTATGGGCCACATCATCCAATTACCATCGGCTGGACTGTGTGCCTGTTTGTCACACTTATTCTATAAAAGAATACATATGTTTTGAACATTTGACATTGTTACGAGTATTATAAAAAGTTATCGTATAAACGAATAAACAAAATGTATTATGTAATTTTACACATCGCGATTCATCAATTTTTAAAAAAAAATCCATTCAAGCATTTAATTAACTTATGTGCGGAAACATTTAGTGATGTAATGTCTTAAATGTCATGGGATTTTGTTAAATAATTTTATGCGTCGACTTACGATATATAAGTTACTTTTTACTGCGACTTGTCCTAGTTTCGGGTTTGCTTTTGTAAAAAAATCACTGTTTTAAGAAGTTTGGCGTTGTAATACAAATAAAAAAATATTCTTTATAAATACGTAAACAGAAATTTATTTAGTTAATAAATTTATTAAGTATTTTTAGGGTTTCGTAGCCAAATGGCAAAAAACGGAACCCTTAGGGATTCGTCATGTCTGTCTGTCCGTCCGTATGTCACAGCCACTTTTTTCCGAAACTATAAGAACTATGCTGTTGAAACTTGGTAAGTGGATGTATTCTGTAAACCGAATTAAGATTTTCACAGCAAAATAGAAAAAAAAACAATAAATTTTGAGGGTCCCCAATCCCCATACTTAGAACTAACACTCAAAGAATTATTTTTCATCAAACCTATACGTGTGGGATATCTATGGATAGGTGTTCAAAAATGATATTGAGGTTTCATATATCGTTTTTTTCTAAACTGAATAGTTTGCGCGAGAGACACTTTTAAAGTGATAAAATGTGTGTCGCTCCCCCCCCCCCCCCCCTGTAACTTCTAAATTAAGAGAATGATAAAATTAAAAAAATATATATGATGTACATTACCATGTAAACTTCCACGTCATAAATCGTAAACCGCAATTTACCTTTTATTCAATCTAACTTTCATTTTTATTCAAACTCTAAAACAAAAAAAACAACATTTATTTCATAAACATAAACCTTATGCATAAACTGTGAACCATTATTTTCTAATAATAAATCTGTAAAAGGTGCCTAATTAAATAATGTTACTTGCTGCTACGGAACCCTTCAAGGACGAGTCCGACTCGCACTTGGCCGCATTTATTAAAAATTTAAATAAGTGTTTGCAACTATCATTATAAGACGCGTTACTCATAGGTCGGACACATTTCTTTTGTATCATGAATTTTCACATTGAAAACACAATCGCAACGGCTTGTCCTGTAAATGAAATGGTCATATGAACTGGAGTTAGAGTATCTTCTCTAAATATGAAACCACAGCATGATCAGAGATTTAGTACCGTTATCGTGACAGCCTATTAAAGTCCACGATAAGGCCACAGGCCTCTTATTTGTTATAACATGTCGTCCTTTACAGTATATAGGTAATTGGTTTCCAAATACAGTGTCAAATGACGGACTCTGTAAATGAGTTTGTCACGAGCAATAAATAGAATATTCACTTTAGTAATAAGCGAGGTTAGTCGCAAGTATATATTTTTATCATAGTAATAATTTTCTTAAGCAGGTGTTATATTTGAAATTTTAATATGTAGTACACTTCTCAGTGTTACATTGGACTCAGAAAATTATGCGAAACAAAAAGTTTCTATGCTTAATATTTTAACTGTCAAATCGTTCAAAAGAATTCTCCGACAGCGTTTGTACAAAGTTTGATGCGTCTAAAACAATTTTTAAAACAATTCAGTCCGCTTCACACACCTCTCTTACGGCGTGCTCGATAGCTACTAACTCATATTCTGACGGAGGATGACATAAAAACTTAACCGATGTGCTGCCCTGGTATAGAATATAATAATAAAATAGAATAGAATATGACAGATTAGAACATAATGAAACAGAATAGAATAGAATATAATAGGGTAGGATAGAATAGGCTAGAGTAAAGTAGGGTAGAGTAGGGTAGCGTAGGTTAGAGTAGGGTAGAGTAGGGTAAAGTAGTGTAAATGGGGTAATGTAGAGTAGAGTAGGATTGTTACGGCTCTCAGTTGCCCAGACAGAAGTCGACTGTATTAGGGCCCATCAGTAATACACTCGACGAGCAACCAGAGAGTTCGGGCCTAATGGCCTATGGACTATTATCAACTAATAGCTGATAAGCAAGCACAAACTTACCGAGTTCCGGAGGTAGTGTCGACCACAAGGCGAAGTCAGGTGGTAAGTAAGGTATATGTAAGTAGTGTGTGAAAGTGTGTAGATGTAACCTGACGTCACCGATGTATTGGACAGCAGATCCACAGGCGCTGCTTTTCTCCAAAATGTGCGATCCCTCCAGTGGGCGTTCACCAATTGAAACCTTCTGCTTTTATTTCACTATATTAGTTTATCAACTTTATTGTACATTTAATTAACTTCAAATTCAACCAAATCAACGTTAATCGAAATTAAAACAAGTGACACGCTGCACAACTTAAGAACGGTCAGTCAAAGTTCAATGTCCCAGGTTCACTTAGCACAAAATTATAACCACGAGCACGAACGCGATCTCTTCTCGAGTCCCAAAGTTTTAGCGTTCCACCCGAAAAAGCAAAATTCCTTTGTACGATATTAAAATACCACAAAAGCAACTCGTCGACGCAAATTAATGCTAATCGAAGTTAAGTTAATCACTCAAAACTATTACAACAAGAATTATCATAAGACTAGCCTCGTTGTCACGTAAAACGCACGAGATTAGACAACGCAAAGGAGGCGGTCTTAACGAGACCCAAATATTCGATAGTAAATTCCGTCCAATTGACACTAGTGCCGCGCCCAACTAACTTTGCCCACGCGTCAGGCAACCGAGCGGTGAGCCGAGAGACCCGCTAGCGGAAGAGGGGGTACCAGGCGGTGACTGGTACCATCGAATGAACGCGCCGAGCGCGCGTCTTGAATGCAAGTTTCAAAGGTTAATATTTGGCCTAAACAAGAATGGATAAGGGTAGATTAGGGTAGAGAAAAGTGGAATAGAATTGCAAGAAATAATATAGAAAAGAATATAATATAATAGAATCCATCCGCGGCTGATCATTGCTGCTGGTGATAAGAGAGCTGGTTCTTTTTTCACTCAAAGGCTAAGAATAGCCATTCAGCGGGGAAACGCAGCCAGCGTTCTTGGCACGATACTGCGGGAGTAAGACTATATGATAATTAAGTTTCTAGTTTTGGTTTTTCTTTTTATTATTGTATATAAAGAAATTTGAATATTCATTATATGGCTCAATATAATAGAATAAAATAGAGAACATAATAATATTTACGTTGTAGAGCCATGATGTAGCTATATAGGTAGTATAGTTGTAGCACGAATGGGTCGGCTCGACCGGGGTTCAACAGTTCGCAGTTCAACAGTAGCAGTTCAACGCTGCTGTATTTTGTATGGTGAGTGTAGAGAACCGGAGACCCTCTTTACTGGAAATGAGGCATTCTATCTTAGTCTTCAGGAGTGCAAACGCATTCTGCAATCTGATTCATAATCGAGGGTAGATTTACATGTCTATAAGTCACAACATCCAATTACCATATGGTGAACTGTGTGCTCGTTTGTCGCCTTTGTACTATAAATATATTATATTACTAGCTGTTCCCCGCGACTTCGCTCGCGTGTTAGGAATTTTATGTTTTTGCGCGGAACCCTAATTCTTTTTCTAAAATAAACGTAGCGTAAGTTACTCCTTATGAAATCAGCTACCTGACAGTGAAAGTCCCCTCAAAATCGGTTCAGCCATTTCTGAGATTAGCCGGAACAAACAGAGAGACAAAAAATTTAAAAATTTTGTTCTTGTTATTAGTACCGTATATACTTTCATATGCAATTTGTAAAACGCTGTAATTTTGACATTACAAACAGACACTTCAATTTTATTTATTTGTATGAATATAGATTTAAGTAACTAGGTGTGAGCTGTTGTTTATATACATAATATTATTTTGTTCTATCCCAAGTTTTGTATTTTATGTATTTAGAATTACGAGGTAACTTTTGAGTAACTTGAAGCAGATTGTACAATTATATGTAGTATATAAGTGGATGTGTGTTTACTATTTCTGCAGTGTTGTAACAATCGTTGGTGTAATTACTCAAATAAATAAACAAATAGTATTTTATTTAATAAATGTTAATACATAACATCGGAATACCCCTAATACCTCTGGCCTGCGAAGAATCAGTAAGAATAATTAAATTTTACAATAATTTTGTATAACTTAGGAGTTTGAATTATAATAAAACCATAATAGCTGCAATAATCAATAATTAATTTTAAATAATCCATATTTTTGAAATAAGTTGTAACAGGCTATTTTCTTATACAAAAACCTATTTTTCATATGAAGTTTTCTGCGTTGCTCTTTCGTATATGAATGTAAATCGAATTTGCGGTATTATCCACTGGGCCTCAAAATATAGCTAATATATTTTATAGTAAAATATATTGTCCGTCATATTTTATAACCTCATGGCTTGCTTAATATGGCCTTTTATATCAAT